ACTGCATTCTCCTCTCTGCTGTGTGACAGAACAAGGCTGCCTCTGCAAGCCTGGTGAAATCCAGCCTCTGACATTTTCAGGACTGTTTGTGGATAGGAAGCTTCGTCACCAAGGATAAATATGCAAGAATGAGCCCCCTCAAAGTGGTGTGAAGCCAACTGCAGCTGTGCAGGGAAGCTGCTGCCTCCAGGTCAGGGAGTCAGTTCTGATTACCCCTGTGTGGGAACCAAGGAGCTTCTCAACTCATTTCTGTATAAACCTGGATGCAATCAATTACCACTGAAATTCAAGCTGCACTAATTCTGCCTGCCAACAATTAGGAGAAACTTTCTGTGGTGTATCAAACCTTCCTGCCCAGATACACCCACTGCCAACCTCACTGCATAACCATTCCCCTTCCTGCATTATTCCCCCTGCCCCAAACATCAAGTCTCTCACAGAGCTACTGAACTTAGGACCTTGAATGTCCAAGATCTCAAAAGCATCATGTATGACTTCCAAAAATGAGAACACAGGATCCTAAAACCACTGATATTTGGCAGCTTCTGCCAGTTATTTAGTTGTTAATACAACCTCTCACACTAGATTCTCCAGGTAGGGTGCTGACTAAAAAAATTACAATGATGCTCCTAAAACACTAAGTACACCTTCCAGTTGTACCGAGCAGTTCAGACTAGGTAACTTGGATGTTAAAAATGACAGCAGGTTTTGTGCTATACATCATCACCAGCAGTAATGAATTTTAGAAGATTTTCCTCCTCATCCACAATTATTGAACACAGCCAGATATAAACACCTTTATCTAAAGCCACCTTTATTTACTACTTTAAATCCAAATTAACTTATCAAGCACTCACTTATGAATTGAAGAAAGGAGATGGACAAACAGATTCTGAAATGCCACCAGCTATCTGAGGAGACTGTCATAGAATCATAGGGGTAGGAAGAGACCTCTGAAGATCAAGTCCAAACTCCCTGCTGCAGCAGGAACACCCAGGGCAGATCACACAGTCCAGATGGGTCTTGAAAGTCCCTCCAGAGAAGGAGCCTCCACAGCCTCTCTGGGCAGCCTGTTCCAGGGCTCTGTGTCACCCTTACAGCAAAGATGTTTCTCCTCATGTTGAGGTGGAACTTCCTGGGTAGTCACTTGCTGCTGTTTCCCCTTGTCCTATCACAAGACACCACTGAAAAGAGACTGGCCCACTCCTGACACCCCCTTTCAGATATTTATAGACATTGATAAGGTCCCCTCTTAGTCTTCTCTTCTCCAGACTAAACAGCCCCAGGTCTCTCAGTCTTTCCTCATACAACAGGTGTCAACTCAACATCCTCGTAGCCTCCCTTGGACTCTTTCCAGTATATCCCTGTCCCTCTTGAACTGGGGAGCCCAGAACTGGACACAACACTCCAGGTGGGGTCTCACTAGGGCAGAGTAGAGGGGGAGGAGAACCTCCCTTGACCTTCTGGCCACACTGTTCTTAATACATCCCAAGATGCTACTGGCTCTCTTGGCCACAAGGGCACATTGCTGTCCCATGGATAACCTGTTATCTCCAAGGTCCTTCTCCATGGGGCTGCTTTCTAGTAGGTCAGCCCCTCATCTATATCGGTGCATGGCATTTTTTCATGGTCAACATTATGAACAGAGTCATGGAACATCATCTTTCTAAAAGCACACAAGCTCTTACTCCAACACAATTTACTGTAGTCAGTTCTTCACACTCACAAGCATATCACACGCATTTGACATCAACCCACAACAGCAGCCTGGCCTAGAATTCTTGTAAACATCATTTCTGTTGCTTCCAATATTTTTTCAAGAAAGCTAATATGGCAACATCTATGAGATGCAAAAATCTTGCCATATCAATGAGTCAGAACACACATCCTTTCCTCAGCTGGAGATAAATGAGTGCAGAAAAGAATACTTAAGGACAAGAAAAATCAAGCCTTACCTTACTACATCATCAATGTTGTTCCTGTATACTCCTTCAAGCCTCTCCGCAGGAAAACCCATAGCAATTATGTTTGGATAAATATCTGAATATGCAAGTTATGGAAACACTTGGGAAGCAGGTAAAATTTCTACAACAGCATTACATGGACATTAAAGGTTTAACTGTATCAAAGTTGAAGCAACAACCAACAGACTCCCATATGCAAATGATTCAGCTTTATACATGCAGAAATAAGGGATCTTTTAAAAAAAAACAAACTGATAAAAATGTTGGGGGGGGGAGGGGGCAGGGGAGAAATAATCAGAAGGGAAGCTTCTGAAAGCATAGTACTTGGACCATAGCCACAGAAATCTCCTAATATCTCTGTAACTTATCAGAAGTCTGTGCTATTGGGCAGCCAATGGTTAATTAACACCCATTAGGAAGGCAATCCAGTAGAACAGCAGAATCAAATAATCCACTTGTCTCACACATCACCTCACTGCAAACCCACAGATGCTACGTACTGTGTTTTTTTTTTCTACAGTTTGGGTGTCATATGAAATCCAATGGGAAACCATTAAAATAGTCTTCTGTGACTGAACAGCAAGATGTTCCAAATTAAAACCCACATTTGAGTCCCCATTAATCCCAAAATAGGTATATCCAGGCACAACAGCAGAACAAACCAAAAACAGTGTTTCAGCCATGCAAGCCCTGGCAAGAATACATAAACTCATGTTTTTACCACTTTCCATGATTTCTACATAACAGACCCCTATAGCAGCTAAGGCAGCTGAGAAAGCCTAAATGCAGGGTACTGCAACAGATGGGAATCTACAGATCTGAAAAGGATTATCTATCTTGTTTATTAAAAATAAGTAACATTCCCCCCTTCTGGAAAAATACTCTAGTCTCTTTTTCTGAACTACCTGTAAGTCACCTGCCAAATACCATCTGAGATAAAGAACATAGGAACAGCAAAAAGGAAAAAGACCAAATCAGAAAATTCTAAGTTATATCTAGAGCCAATGGAGTAAAGAATTCATAACAAATTGATAGAAAATTACTCCTATTTATATTCCTGATGGTGCAGTGATATATGTTTGGGGTTTGTTTTGGGTTTTTTTAACTGAACTCAAGAAAATAAAGTATTCCCAAGTTTTAAACATTGTTAGAAATGATCATGCAGTGAAGAAGCTTTGCTGAAAAGCAAAACAGAAATGAAACTAGCAGCTCAAAAACAGACCATACCCATGTACATTAACATACTCCTCCTCAAGCTAATTTTAGAAGGAGTAAGAACAAAGCATGGTATGTTCAAAGTTGGCTCTGCTTTAGACAAGGGGGCTGAAATGGGTGATTTCTAGAGGTCCTTTTCAACCTCAATTATTCCACAATTGTAAGAATAGTTTTTATTTTTATGGTTAAAACGTAACAAAGCTCCAAAGGGTAACCATTGAATGGAAGACATTGCAGCAGCTTCCAAGATATTAATATTCCAGTTTCTTCAAGAAAAACCCTGAAGTAGGATACAAACCACTTCATCCTTGCAGAATTCCCACAAGCCCAGGTCCTCAAAGGGAAGCAGCACTGAACAAGTTCTGCATTTACACAGTTTACTACAGGACTTCAGAAAAACTTTACCAACTGAATACACGGAAATCATGTTTTCTACTCTCATAAAAAGAATTAGCATTGACTCTGTTGTAATCTGAGTATTAATAGACGTCGGTCTGCTTGGACTATTCAAAAGATGATTTATGCAGACAATGAGAAAAATAGGAAAGCTTTTAAGAAATCCATTATCTGTAGATGACTTAAACACAGACACTGAAAGGGGTTCACACCTCTAGAAAAAGCTCATCCTGAAAAAAAAATTAGGTTGCTTAACTTTCAGAGCTTGTGTTAACTTCAGGTACTGTCAAGACACATAAAACTTAAACTTTGAACTTCACTCTGAATGTATTTGACTTTCCAAGCAGTCCACACCTCTGTTAAATTAACAAAAGGTGCTACATAATTAGCAAAGTACTTACTATTTTATCAGTTACTACTTGCAATAAGGCGAAGAAACTGGTTATACATCACATGGAGATGCTCCAAGCCTATTAGCAGTGAAATACCTGACTTTCAGTTAGCACACTCCATTGCTCCCTCCTTCTCCTCCTTGATTTCAACCTGATTTTGTCCTACTGCCACTCACAGCATTCATACTCAAAAAAACCTCCCTCCTGCATCCTGCTCCAAACGGCAGGGCTATATAATTTACCATGGCAAAATAATCCAGTGTATCAGCCTACTTTCCACAGCACTTCTCCTCAGAAGAAAAGCATTCATGCTAACAACAGAGGTAAAATCTATTCATTCAGACAAACCACAGACAAAAAACTAGTGTGAACTGCAGTATCACTCAGGAGACAGATGCCCAAACTTTGCCAAATTCCCATGTAACTTGCTCAAATTTCTATTTGCAACTGTGAGCTTCACTATATTTTTTTTCCAAGCTTCACCCTGCAGTTTATGCTCAGATGCTTTCCTTCTGGTGTTGGCTTCTCCTCTCTAACAGGCTAAGAAATGAGATACTTACAGGAGTCCCAGCTGGTGCAGGATGGAAGTGAAGCAGACAGACACCTCGAGTGAGGGGAACAGAAAATCTTAACAGCAGTGTCGTTTGCAGGCTCACAGCCTTGTCCAAACACCAAAGCCTCAAAACACACAGGCAGAGAGAGATAAAAAGTTCCAAAATAACTGTGGCAGTCTCACACTTTTGGGAAGCACCATCCTCTTTTGGCTCCTGCATCTCATGTGGGCCCTCTCCCCTCCCTCGCTCCTCAAGGGCGATGCACGAGTGGTACATGATCAGATCACATGGATTTCTTCTTTAAAATAGAATCGTATCACAGACTGGAAGGGACCATCAAAGTCCCAGACCCCTGCATGAGCAGGGACACCTCCCACTAGACCAGGTTGCTCCAAGCCCCAAACAACTTGGCCTTGAACACTGCCAGTGATGAGGCCTCTACAGAATGCTTAACTGTGCATCATTACAGGTGCATTTAAAAACGAGAGCTGCAGAAGCTGTACCACAACATAGGAGGAAGTAAAAAAAAAAAAAAAAAAAAAAAAGGAAAAATACCTAGAATAGGGGTAAGAAAAAAAAGTGCTATCAATTTACTGATGCTGATTCAATCCAAGTGTTGTATGCTCTGGGATTTTGCAACCTGACAGCACAAAAGCTGAAGTGTTCTGAAAAACAAATATCCAGCAGTGAAGCTGGGGTGGGGGCTGTATCAGAAAAACATTATTGTTTTTTAAAGAGGCAAGTCTATTTTTCCCCCACCTAAATATAAACATCCTGAAGTACCTGACTTATTATCTCAAAGTATTAGACTGGAATGCAATTCACACACCACTGCTGACTCACGCTTCAGTCTGTAACAACTCTGGTGTGAAAGGACACGGGTCACGGGCAAGCAAAGGACACCAGACACCCTTCCAGGGCACAAGTGCTGGCTCCACCAGCCCCCAACAAAAGCAAGTGACAGCTACATGCATCTGTATCACTGCTGAAGATCATTCTGTGCCTCTTTAGTCTGCTCCTGACAGGCATGCTGAAGCAGCACCTTGCTTTGAAACTCTTGTGTTGGTTCTAGCAACTGCCTCTTGCTTTCAGGAGCAACATACGGTGGAAGAACAGAGGGGAAGGGCTGCTGCTGTTTGCACAGATAATCCCCATCTCTGAGAAGAAATAGCAGTTTCATCACTGCATGGAAAAAACTGCCATGAAAAGCTCTTCCACCCTTTCCTCTCCTGCAAAAAGCTGCCCCAAGATCTGCAGGAAGTAGGTAGTGAGAAGGTACTTGCCTGATTTTTTCCTGATGCTGGGGAAGGAAACATTCCTCCTTGGGGACAGCTTGTGGTCACTGCATGGAAGGGTGCAGAGCCAGGCCAGTTACAGAAGAACTGTCCACCAACCATCATCTCCTTCAGAGACACTGCTTTTCACCCCTCAGTTAGTTTAACACTGATTTCCAAAACTGAAATTAAGATACTACCAAGACGAGATTTCTTACAAAGGAGCTTGGAAGCTGGGCTTACATTCCAAGCAGGAATTCTGAGTCATCATGAAATTGGTAATTATACTAATAATTTTAGAAACCTGGGATAACCAACCATTTAAAACATGCAACAAAAGTTCATTATCAATTCCAAGCTGCTTTTTTTTTTTTTTAAGACATGCAAATGCAAATGAAAAAAGCCTCAGCCGTTTATTGAGGCAGTTCTACAAAGTTTATCAAAAAGTCAAACCAAACCATTTTAACTACCAGCACTTGAAATGGGTTTTCTAAAAAATGTTAAATGGTTAGACCCAGCCATATTTTGCAAAGTAGTTCTTTCCTAAGAAACCCATTCTCAGAAATGGCTTCAACAGCTTTTAAAGCACTCATTCCTTTTTCAGTCTTGTCAGTATCAAGGCCAGGATTTTAGTGATCACAATGAAACAAAAAAAATAAGGACATAAGACAAACTCATGACACACAAATAAAATGCCACCTTCAAGTTCAGACTTCTTACTACCAACAGAACTTCAGCTTTCATATGAAGAAAACACTCTGCTATACCCAAGGAACCTTAAAATCAAAGCAGTCAGTAATTTGCTTAAGTTCCCAAACGCCACAAATACTGAAGACACACCGAAGCAAATAATCCATCCACCACTTTAGAAATGCTTTTGCTCTAATGCCGCTCATAGGTTTAACATTCCCATTTGCTAAAAGTAATAGAGTCTTTCCAGCCACTATGAGAAAAATCCCGGACCATTATGCAGATCAGCAGTTACAATCACTTTTAAAAAATAGCTGTCTATATACTCATATTGTGTCAAGATCATATTAAAGAATATGCAGTACTTTGAATTTTACATACATGTAGGTAAGAAAGCAACTTACTCAAGTTGGTCCTCTAGCTGATTCTGCTCACAACTTCATCCTTTTCCTAACAATGGAAGGTGGCCAAAAAAGCATACCGAAATATTTACCAAGTTCTTAAGCAGCCACAAGGAAGTTGCAAAAATAGACAGCTATAGCCTTTCCT